ACTGTAATTCTTTACTGTAGTAAGGTTATGTCCTGAAAATATAATATCCTGAAAATATCAGAATAACTGTTAAAATTGTTTCTTAAACATACCAGATTTAAAAGAAACCTGTTAATAAAAGAATAGTAGTAGATGGACATAAGAGCAGAAGGAGATCCTGATATACCAATGTTACACACTAGCAAAAGTGATCCCTCTTTGGCTCTTAACCTAAAGTAGAGTTTTTATTAAATACTTCTCTGCAGTCCAATTTGCAAAGAGCCATCTGCTGCACCAAGTTCTTAATTTACAACCTGATGCTTGCTTACTCATTCCTGCTAAGGTTTTACCTTTACGTACACATGGTAAATGCAACAACAGATGCCTGCAGCTGTGGTCCAGACCAGCACCAGCCCCTGTTGTTATGGCAACTGGTGTGCGCACAGCCCTGCTCTTCCGCTGTGCTGCTCCCAATCCTGCTACTGTGAAGAATGGAAAAGCAATCCTCAAAAACTTCCTGAAACCCTGTATTCTGCGCCCTGAGTCTTGGCCAGAGCCCAGCTGCAAAGATTAACCTGGACTGTAAAACTCCCCACAGCTGTCAGAGACCAGAAAAGATTAGAGCAGCAGCATAAACTGGACATGTAACCCCAGAGAAAAGAGCAAGAATTATTCATAAATGCACAACTATGTTTAACTATGCAAGATAAACTGTTAGCCAGCCATATTGCTACGACACAATAAAATTTCTCCTGTATTCTGCTAATTTTCTTTATTCATTTTACAAAGGACTTGATTCTACTCCCATTTCATAGTTATTTTGTAAATGTCTTCACCAGGGGATGAACTGATCCTAGACGTCAGATTCCATTCCTGGGAGACCCCTGGTTGTAGGTACATTTGCTGATGACATGAGCAAGTTTTTCTCCCAAGTCCCAGGTGAGTGTGTGAAACATGGATAACGTTTTTTCTTAATATGCTCCAGGAAAAAATGACTTTAGTGTAGAAATAGTGCAAATTACAAAGAATAAACAAACAATATCTGTTTTTAAAGCATTAGCCAATAGTGAGAGTCAAGTAATGATACAAACCAAATGTTTTATTAGCTGAGGAACTGAACAAGTGAGCCCTGAGGCAATCAATATGCAGCTTTTCAGTTCTGATTTGAAAGAATTATTTTTCACTTGGTTGTTGCACCATTTAAAACGTAATCATTATTATTTGCATTTCAGTAACAATGTCTAGCCTGTCTTACTGTGCTGGTTGCTGTTGGACAACAGCAAGGAAAGATCCTGTCCTAAGGCATCTGCAGCCCATGAGGTAAATCATGATTATAAGGTCTCTCTGACCATGAGGCAACATGCTGCTTTATCCACTGAGGCAATTTCAAGTATAATAATAAGAAAAACGAATACACTGAAAAATAGAAAACAATAGAAATAAAATGACCTAAAGCCTGCTTTAAAACAACGTCAAAAATATTTTGTTATAGTTGATACTGAATGGGTCTTGTAAAGCACTTTTACAGTACTGGTTTCTGGTAGGAAATTGTGCACCTGAAGTTACACACACACACACACACACACACACACACATCAGCAAGTTACCCTGATGTAACACAGCAGGCAATGCAAATGTGTTCCGAAATACTCGACAGGTTCTGTGCAGTTTTTGTTAATTGAGCTTTTCCCCTGCGGTTTGCTGTAACCTGTGGTGACTGCCCCGGGGACTCTCCTGCTCCTGCAGATTCTTACTTCCCCAGGAAGTCATTACTTGTGCTAACTCTTCCACTTAGCTGAATCAGACCCTCTAAAGAGAAGGCAATTTGTGCAAGGGATTGCAAGGATCAAAGAATGGTTACTAAGCAGAAATCTAACCTATTATTTTCCCCAGCTATAGCAGTAGCCGAATCCTGTGAAAAGTTGTTCGCTCACATAGCAGTGGATGTTCTTAAGAGAAATCATACTATTGTTTGGGCTCACCGTGAGTCTTTCCTTTTTCCCCCTTCATGGAAACCACCCAGCTTAAGAATGGAAACCACCCAGCTTAAGAACAGTACATACGCTTCTCTCCTAGATGATGTCTTTCAGTTTCACCACCAGCAGTGCTTCATGAAGGTACATACTGCTCTTCTACCCCTCTTCACAGGATCAATTTACTCTGTTCATCACTGTCAAAGCCTCAGCAGTGTACTGCAACAAGTTGCTACCACCTATATTCATGGCTGTTAGTGACTTGTGAACCTAGGAAAAGTTGTCTGTCTATATTATACAGCTATATTATAACAACTGATGCTGCTCTATATATCTTCCTGTAAAAAATAGGGAGCTTGCAATACACTTCATTAAAATTGACGTAAAAAAATCAAGTAGGGAAGTGAAATAGGATCAGTTGAAATAGGAAGGAAGGAAAAGCAAAGGGAAAATTAAAAAAAAAAAAAACCCACACCAAACAAACCAATCTCATTACCTCCTTTTCAATTTAAAAACAGTTTAACTTGTAGAATGCTTTAGTAAAAGTACAAATATTTGGCCACACAAATACATACAGCTCCAGTGAGCAAACACAGAAAGGCAGATGCTGGCTGACAAAAAGAGAAGGATATAAGGAAATTTTGGGGTGGGATGGAATTACTAAGATTAATATATGGTAATTATTAACACTTTATGATCCTGTATACTATACATTCTTTCACCCCCAAGTGATTTACTCCTCTTTCCATTTTGATGTCCAGTGTCTGGTGGGAAATCTTTTTTCCCCCACTTAACTGAAAGATGTTGACAATCACAGCTTTTTCCTCAAATCTTTCCTTCATCCTGTCTCCACTTCTCTCTCTTAACAGAATTTCACCATTTTTTCCAAGCAAAAGATGACAAAGAACATTTTCACTCCTTTCTCCCCAGCTGCCTTTTGGCTGGTCCCCCCTTTCTATGTTCCAGTTACAGAAGTTTCCTACCTCTGCTTATGCCAGTGTCACATTCCATCTTCTCATCTCCCCCATCCTGCTCTTACCCCTCCCTCACTCTTCCCTTTCATCTCTCACTCTTAGGTAATTTTCAGTTCTCACAATAAATCCATGTTTTCCTCTTCACATCTTAAACTCATACTTGACCTTATTTGCCCCTCCATTTGCTACTTCCTCTCCCTTTCATCTGTAAATTCACTGAACATTCTGTTTCTAGTCACTAGAGTACCTCTCCTTACTCCTTTCCTTTCCTACATAAAGCCTTAACCCACAGCAGCTCTCAGTGAGGTACTCGATGGTACTAATCAGGACCTGTGTGCAATCCTGCCACCACAGCTGTGTTGAAGAGTCAGTCTCACCCTTCCTGAAGTCCTACTAGTCCTTCCTTTGTTCCTGTCCTCATTCCCTTCCTCTCTAATCTCTTCTGCAAAGTTTTCTTGTAAAAGAGTTTCTCTTACCCTAATCAGTCTCTATTGGACTTCAGTGTTATCTCTTTTTATTTCTGGTATTCTCATCTGTAAACACAAACTCAAGTATCACATGTTTCTAGGAAGAATACTTACTGGTCTACTTCTTTATCACTTCCTGTTCAGTATCAAATCTTGAACTAATTGGCTTCCATTTATGTTTAGGCACCAACTCCAAGTAAACTTAGAGCAGACAAGTAGCTAAGCAGTAATAGCTAAGTAAACTAAGGAGCACAGGTAATGCTAAGTGTGCTACAGAGATAACACTCCTTGTGTTTAGCCTTCATTGCTGGAGCTTTCTAGATATCACTGCAATACACCATAATTCTAAAATATTTTAAACCCCCTGTCAGTTCAGAGCTCCTCATTCCCTTCCCCATCTCTGTCCCTACCATAATAGCTTATGTGCGCAGCTCAGAATGAGAAGAACTGGGAAATTCCAACTTGTAGGTCAGCTCCGGGGCAGCCAACCATCTGATTAGTTTTCTGTGTATCATTCTAATTTGAGGTGGTTCGGAAGAAGGCTGCATATCACCACACCTTCCTTGTTCTAAGCCTATTTCCAAATGACTTGGTTTGCAAAAAAAGCCTTAGCAAGAGCCTCAAAGACCAAGTTTACCTCTGGTGATGTTACTGCATTGCTGATGGCATGTATATGCTCTCTGTCAAGCCAAGCACCACCGGGAGAACATCTCTAGATATTGAGCAAGCTCTTAAAGAAACGCCCAGGGGCCAATGGCCTGAATCTTGCCAGGAGGCTGGGGACCGGGAGAAGCCCGGGGTGCTCAGTGGTGCCGCTAGCAGCCTGCAACGTCTTTAAGCACAGACCTTGGGGCATGCAGGTTTCTTGGTTGGGGTAGAAAAAGACGTTCTCTGCAAAGCAGGTGAAGTACATAGATAGGTGGACATGCACACCTACATGTGCTATCTATAGGTGGACATACATCCCTACATGCACTATCTACAGGTGGACATACACACCTACATGCACTATCTATAGGTGGACATACATCCCTACATGCACTATCTATAGATGAACACACACACCTACATGCACTATCTACAGGTGGACATGCATCCCTACATGCACCATCTATAGGTGGACCTACATCCCTACATGCACTATCTATAGGTGGACCTACATCCCTACATGCACTATCTATAGGTGGACATACACACCTACATGCACTATTTATAGGTGAACACACACACCTACATGCACTATCTATAGGTGAACACACACGCCTACATGCACTATCTATAGGTGAACACACGCCTACATGCACCATCTATAGGTGGACATACACGCCTACATGCACCATCTATAGGTGGACATACACGCCTACATGCACTATCTATAGGTGAACACACGCCTACATGCATCATCTATAGGTGGACATACACGCCTACATGCACCATCTAAAGGTGGACACCCACGCCTACATGCACCATCTAAAGGTGGACACCCACGCCTACATGCACCATCTATGGGTGGACATACACGCCTACATGCACTATCTATATATGTGTATACAGGTGTGCATCACCGCCCCTCCCGCCTGGCCCACCCGCGGCGGGGCCCCACTCACCGGGGCGCGGGCCGCTCGCCTCGGCGCTGCCGCCCTCCTGCGGCGGGCTCTCGGAGTCGGTGTTGGTCAGCCAGGTGGACTCGGTCTCCCGCGTCCAGCTCTCGTAGTAGCGGGGCTCGATAGCGTCGGCCCTGCTGCCTCCGCAGCCCATGGCGCCGTCCCGCTCCCCGCCGCTGCCGCCCGGGCAGCACCGCGCCACCGGGCACGGCCCCGCAGCAGCCCTGCTCACGCCCTCCTCCCCATCCCCGCTCGCCCAGCTCCGCTCGCCTTTCTCACCCTTCTTCCCGGCTTTATCATCTCCTCAGCTCCCCCTCTCCCCTCCCTCCTGGCTGTCCCCTCCCCTTCTCCTCCCTTTACCCCTTTCCCTCCTCTCCGCTTTTCCCCTCCCTCCATCCCGCCGGCTCCCAGCGCGTCCCCGATCTTTCCGATCCCAGACTCCCGGGTAGACCCTCCCATCGCTGCCCCGTCGCGGTGCTGGCTCGGCGCGCAGAGCCCCTCGGCGGGTGGGCAGCGCTGCCTCTTCCCTGCTCTGGGTATTTACACATCGAGGACTTGCACATCTATGGGCTGGCAATCAGCCACAGTCAGCACTGTGTAGCCGGTCTGCACCCCCTTTATGTATTCTGATTGGGTCTTGCACCCCATTTCACAAAGCCATCTCCCCTTCCCTTGATTTTGCCAGGAGAGCCTGGCTTCCACCTTTCTTGTTAGCTGATTTACTGCTGTATAATTGGGAATTCAAGATGCAATACTGAGTGCTCTACTCCAGAGAAACTTCTGTTCTTCCCTCTTGGATATACACTTTGGGAAGCAACTGAGAACATGAAATTCCTGCAGAACAGACTATAATTTATGCTAATGCAGGTAATCTAAATGACAGATGCAGAGGTTTGACACTGTTTTGAGTCACATTGATGGTGGCTGCAGTTTGTATTGCAACAGCTGCTTCCCAAGGCCGCAGCCAGAGCTTGAGCAAGCCTCATGAACGCTAGGCACTACGTGATTGTATCATGAGAGGAAGACTTTATCCCAAATAAATGTTTCTCTCCTGTCATCATTTTGTAGCAGAGCAGCAGGTATGACACTCCCCCCTAAGGCAACTTAGAGCGATACAGAGGTCATGTACTGCACACTTCATGTCATTATACAACACAGCTGTTGGCCAGAAAGGATGTCCCCAGTGAAACTGGGAGAAACTCAGACTGTCCTGTGCTAATAGAATTGCAAGTACAAGCACAGCCGCTCTGCAGGTAAAAGCTCCTGTTCCTAAAGGCTGGTACAAGATCTTCAAGAGCATCCAACATGCCTTAGCTTTGTATCCCAGCCAGTAGGTCCTGCATGCTGGCTCCAAAGTGATTCAGGCTGGGGTTGCTGAATCACCCATTATGCTTCCCGAAGCAGATGACTACCAAGAGGTTTCTAAGCATCTTCCCAGCCAAATACTGACTCACAATGATCCTACTTTCCTACTGAGACCTGCTGAGTTCACTCACACACAGGAGTGCTGCTGACATTTATTGCCCACGTAATTGTGCTACCAAGGTCCCAGGATCAGCGGGGCAGCGATCTTAGAGGAAGCAGCTACTTTTTCATAGAATCGTAGAGTAGTCATAGAATGGTTTGGGTTGGAAGGGGCCTTAAAGGTCACCCAGTTCCAACCTCCCTGCTACAGGCAGGGACACCTTTCACTAGACCAGATTGCTCCAGGCCCCGTCCAGCCTGGCCTTGAACACTGCCAGGGATGGGGCAACCTGTGCCAGCGCCTCACCATTTTCATCATTGTAGTAATGTTTTTGTGGATTAATAAGAATTTTTTTTTTTTTTTAATTTTTTTTTAAAAGAGGGTTCCAGCAGAGGTTTTTGTTTCAGTCAGGCTGCCCACCAGCAGATAGTCCCCAGGGCAGTGGAATATAGTGGTGCCTGAAGCCAACAAAGAGGTCTGACATACATCCCACTTCCAAGGAATTGTGTGCACCCGAGGTGAGCACGTGGCTGGTGTAATTTTTGATTGGTTTATTAAATCAGTTGGGGAGCAGTAAGACCTGATCATTTTCGTTCTCAAACGTTAAGGTTTGGCAAGCTTCAAATGAACTTTAAAAATACCTCAAAATAAAAATGTTCACATGACTATTACAAACAATTAATTCTTTTGTATCCCAGGGACCATTACTGCATGTACGTTACCTTTGATATTTGCTTTCAGTGTTACAAGCAGAAGAAGCAATAGGGAGGTTTAGGCAAAAGATGTTCTGCCTGTTTTCAGCTTTGTCAGTGGTATCTCAACTTGCTGTGTAAGATGGAGTTTAGCCAGTACACCAGTTAAATCTGAGCTTAGGCCCCAGCTTTTCTCACAAACCTGTTTGCTTCACACCAGAAAGCAGAAAGGAGGTCACTTACTGAGGGATTCCTGTGGTTCCAGAGCATCATTAGAGGGCAGAGAGGAGTTTGTGTTTCAGACTTGCTCTTTCTAGTCAGGTGTTTTGTGTATCTGAGGAGAAATAAAATTAATTAAAATGTTCTATCCATTTGACATCATCACTCCAACTTGTAATAAGCCTGGAAGCAAGATTGTCTCTGAAGATTTCACTCTGTATATTTGAGTCAGCTTTCCTCCTGACAGCAGATATTTACTTCAGTGAATGATAAAACATTCATCTTTACTGTTATGAGTACTCAGAAAGTACAATTTTCTTGCCTTGATTGCTCAAATATTTCTCTCAAACCATTTTCAAATGTATACCATATAATTTCCACATTGCTCTGCATTAATTATGCCTTTCTTTCTACAAGGAAATGATAGCATGCATCTCATACAGCCACTGAAACCAAGAAAGTTTTCAATTTAATATTCACAGCTTCCTAAACATGTATAGGTGATACTCCATATTAGCTACAGATGAAGGTTTGTTAACATGTCTCCAAACAGCTCATAAATAGGAAGAAGTTAGTTGACTTACTTTTCTACTGCATCTTCTTCATGTTTGAAGAGGACTCTGAAACAGAACCTCAAATCCTAACATTCACATAGCCAGAGAGCAAGGCTTTGAATTCCCCCATCTGAACCTGCCAATTTAGTTTTAAATTGGATTAAAAAGCCCAAAAGAAAAATTTCGAGGTTCCTAATGGTAAATAACTGTGCCACATGGAAATTTCCTGCAACGATGTATGATCATGAAAATTTCATGGTCATTTAAGCTTTCCAGCTCTCCCAGCTGGGCTTTAATGCTGCCTTGTACTTTGCAGTGGCCCCGTCTCCTTCTTCTGTTGAATAGCAAATATTTCCTAATGAGCCAACTGTAAGTTTTGCATAAGCAAGAGGTTTAGGATCAACACATGCATATTCACTTGAGGCAGATGTGCATGTTTGCACAGTGTCCATCCTGCTTTTTTGGTGTGCTCTGTGCAAAGACATCTTCAGTATGGGTGCATGGAAAGACAAAATCTTAGGTTTGCCTCCATCTAGCCTCTAAAACGTTGGGAGTTCAAATGTTTTAAAGTTACACCACAATATTTGCTTCATTTTGTGAAGTGAGAGTCAACACCTTCTGCTGCACTTGGAGCAGAGCATTACCCTGTTTGCAGTCAAGGATGGAAAATGGATTGCAACCACTCAATAGAGTCAGAGATGTGTTGAGTGATGGTGGATACTGGCTTTTTGGGAAAGTGGGATGCTACAGGGATAGCACACTTGCTAATGGCAAAGTGGAGTCTCCCACATTGGAGATATTCAAGGCCCGCCTGGACAAGTTCCTGTGTGATGTACTCTAAGTTACCCTGCTCTTGCAGGGGGGTTGGACTAGATGATCTCTTGAGGTCCCTTCCAACCCTTGGGATTCTGTGATTCTGTGTGATTCGCAGGGAAAATATCTTCTCAAATACTTCCCTGTGAATTCAGCCAAGCTGAGATCTCCTTCTTAAAGAAGGTAGAAGGTCTTGCTCCACTTCTTCTGGGTGACCCAGACCCATCCAAATAGGCATCTCAGGAAATAGCATTATTTTCTGGGAAAAAAACTTTGTCAGCTGCGCTGCAATTTATTTGAGAGTCTCTAAGTATCTATTTGCTAAGGAGCCTGAGAAGAGCAAATCAAGTATAATACCCAGCCAGGATATTAAGTGTAAGTGAAGCAAGGATAATAAGGAAAGAGGCTTGAAATCGTTATCACAGGGAATTTGTGGGTGGCACTCCCCAGAGGAAAGAGTTGTCGAGTTTATCACTAAAAGGTGCAAATCAACGGCTGCTGCCTTGCAGAAGCTGGAAACCTCAGACTGCAAACTCAGTGATAGCACTGGGTGGTGATGGATTTTTTCTCATTTACCCAAGTCTCCAAAGAGCTCCTCCGCATAAAGTCTTTATCTTGTGCTCTGCTCCAAGACTACACTTTGTCCCTGATGAAGAAGGTAAATCATAAAACTCAGTTATGAAATCAGTATTTCATGGAACTAAGTATCATACTGGGTAAACAGTTATCACTCAAGATGTTCCTGGCAGAGTGAGTCTGAAATTTTATGGCCCTAATACCTAGACCTTAATCAAAATAGATTTGACTGTTTCTTTCACATGCATTCTTTTCTCTGAGGGTATTGCAAGATTAAGCAGGTACTGATACATTTTAATTGTTTATAGGTAATTCATTTGTTTTGTTATAGACTAGATAACAGCCTAAGGCAACAGTGCAGGGAAATCTAAACGCAATGAGAAAGGAAGCAGGCAGGCACTCCATTGCTAGTGTACTGCATTAGGAAAGCTCTGCAAGTTGAGGAATTGCTAATTCTATACGTACAGGGTCCATGCAGTCACATATAAGTCTGATAAAATATATTATTTTGCCCTTCTCTTAGACTTTTTTCCATTCCCTACTGTGTCAAGAGTCTGGAAAATAAGGAGAGGGAAACTGGCAGGGTTTGATTCCTGTAGTGCAATCGGTGTGTTAGGTAAGAGTTCAATTAGGAGCAGTCATACTGAATTCTTAAATTATGTTTAAAATATTTAAATGTTTTAAAATGAGAAATAAAGATCTCAATTCAATAAGCACTTCTGAGTATTTCTGAGCTTCAGTACAACACTTTTGTTTGTTTGAGTCTTCTTTTGAGCTCCAGTGCTTCCGCTGAGGTTTTTTTAAATTAAATTGAAAACCTACCTCAATACAATTGTTCTGAATTCAACCTCATTCTTTATAAATGTTAATTCTGAAAGAGTCTGTCCTCCTGTTCGTGTCCTCTTCTATTCTGTCTAAACACTGCAGAGTCTACAGCAACTTCTTCCTAAGGCTCTTCCAAAGTTTTGACTCCTTGGTGATGTGGTCAGTCC